GTGGAATCCAAAACAGCCAGCTTTGTCAAGCATTTTGCAGGGCAGCTGCTGCAAGAGTGGCAGGTGTACATGACGACCACTGGGACCCCATGGACCATGGTGTCCCCATGGTTCTACAAGGTCCTGAAAAGCTTCCAGGAGAAATACAAGCTGCACGATGCTACCCCTAGTGACCCTGGTAAACCACCACAAGATAATATGGGAGGTGGGGATAATAAGGGCAAAAGACACCATATTGCCTATGGATTTTCTACCTGGTGACAGCTGTGTGGGAGTGAATCTTTCACAAGGACCTGCAGAAAGAGCACAGAGACCTAAATTGGCAGGTAACCCACTGTGCACTCTCTGAATGGGCATGGAAAAACACTGAAGGGCAGAGCATTCCATCGAACTGCCTGAGACATACCTGCCGCTAGCAGGTCTATATTCTATTTCTATTTTATATAAAAAAAAAAAATGTTTGGAAAAAAAAAAAGGCATAGTTTGTACTATATGTAAGTAGGTACCAAAATGCTGCTTAAAATGTGCTTATAGAGTAACTGCTAAAACCTGCAGCAGTTTCAAAAAAGATGACGTATCAATTCTGGATGAATTGATACATAGGCTGTGGGTACTGTATGCAAATTACTGCAGCAGTTTTTAATTTGAAGGTCAGCGTTTTCAAATTGCTCCTCACTTCCATGGGCTCAGGGAAATCAGGTTCTGACAGTAAAGTGGGGCGGGGAGAGGGGCTTCTGGGGAAAGAGGTTGTGGCGAGGCAGAGGACAAGGGGGGCTACCTGAGCCCTCAGATTTTCCTTGCTGCTGTAGTGGGAGGGAGACAAATTCAAGGCGAACTTCCAATAATTAAATTCAATACCTGGAAATTTTTAAAACATTTACACATTTTCCATATATAAAATTTAATTACTGGGGGGTTATGGTATAATCAGAATCATTTTCTATTTGAGCAAATATGGTAATAATCAGAATTCCAAAAAGTAATTTGAACTCCTAGCATGATCTTCAATTGGAAGAATCCAAAGTTAATTATGGAGTTTTTTTTCCATGCAAGAGCAGAGTCATTAGCTGTGAAGTGGATACATTTTTATATTACAATAAGAAATTAAAAAAACAAAACTAGATCTTCCCAACTATTCATCTGTCTGGCTTCCTGTAACTGGTAAGACAGACCTAGAAACTGGTAAATTTTTTCATAAAGATCCTTAAACGCTGACTCAATATTTTGCTGTATTTTTAGTAGGGAAGAGGTTCTTTTGTTTTTTGTGTTGTTTTTCTTTTCTTTTCCTTTTTCCTTAGCACTTTAAATCTGTTTTAACATTTATTTTCTGTGATTTGAAAGTTTTACCCTCACAACCATAGGAGAAAGCTTACTTTCTTCCCATTTGTATTAGTAACATTTACACCAGTTCATGAAATCTCACAAGAAATTGAAAACGTCAGACTTTCAGGGAGACTGTTTAAACAGATCTACACAACTCTAATATATTATGGGAAAGTCAAGCCTTCTGTCATCTCTTCTCTGTTTCCTTTTCTCCTCCCTTCCTCTCATATAATGCATTTGTCAAGGTTCTGCTAGGTGATGGAAAGGATTTTCTCCTTTCACATTGTGTGTCAGTTTAGTAAACTTCACAAATGTAATCCTGATTGTTTGAATGCACAGTCAGTTTAGAGAATCACGTTTCCCCTCACTGCCCCCTCTGTTGAGAAAGCTGAAGCGAAAAATGATCACACTCAAATTCACAAAGTACTTTTTTGTTGGATTGAAATTGTTGACCTTTTTGCTTTGTGAGCATAACATTCAAAGGAAAAAAAAACAACCCCTTTCAAAGAACAAAGATGTCTTTATAAATTCAGTGGTGTGAGTTGCACACTATTTTTTTTATTTCTCGATTGATTGACAGTTCTGTTTTTTCAGCGTGTCAAAAGAAAGAAGGATAATCAGTTTCCTTTGACTGTTTAGCTGGGAAAATATTTTTGAAATAATTGCTGTCTCAGTAGCATTGGAGGAAACAATGCACATGGTTCCCCAAAATGCAGTAGCCAGTTTATTTTTAAAAAGTGGTTCAAATTATATCTTTTGTTGAATGGTGACAGACACGACTAATCGGGTGTTTTGGAGAGTGTTAGTTTTTATTTCAACCAGAAATTCTGCCATTTTGCCATTCTTGCCATAAGTGACACCCTTTGGAATGGCAGGGATCAGCTGATTTTTTTTTTTTAAGGGAGAAATTGTTAAACTTTTAAGAAGTTGTCTCTTTGTACTGACTTCTCCAATTTCCATATTGTCCAAAATCCTCCTTTTGGGAGTCAGGAGGGAAGGATTAGTGAGTCAATTCCAATCCAACAGCTCCAGTAGCATTTAGAATATGTAATAAGGTTTCTTCTTACTTTACCGTATCCCCACATTTGCTCTCTCTCTCCACCCATACTGCTAAAATAATGTAATTGCTTTACTAATGCAGCTTCCTAACCCTCTCAAAGCCTGCAGTCTCTTCTCCCTCAAGTCTCTGGGGAAAAACTGCCATTTGAACTATCTTTCATGTTGATCACTCATGATCCATCTCTACAAAACCTTTCTAAGCCTTAGCAGAGGGTGACAAGTTTTCTGCTGGCATAGCCACACTTCCCAAAATGACATAAACTAAACCAGGAGAAGCCTTCTGTCAGCATAGCTGCAGCCATTCCAGCAGTTTTGCCCATGTTATCACAATGATAGTGATATTTTTACATCTCTAGATGAAATAGCTAGGGCCAATTAAAACGGCCTCAGGCTATCACCCTCCCACATTTTTCCACACCCTTCCTCCATTGGCTTTTCTGCTTCTATAGCATCAAACACTATTTGTTTTTGTCCTGACTTAGAAAAGCCTCCTCCTTCCCTACCTCTCAATGGCAAAGTTGACTGGCTACTTCCCTGTGCCAACAATGCTACTTTTTGCTCATCTGATTCTTTGCTCAAAATTTACTATGTGCTTCTACATAATTTGGCAGAATGGGGATTCTGGCCTTCTGGCCTCCCAGCATTTCTTCAGAATGGGCTTAATAACTACACAAAATGTCAGGTCTCTTTGACCCCGGTCAGTTTAGCTTGTATCAGTTGTTAGTGATTGATTTCCTGGCACTGGTGATCCATAGCCTGCTTTCTTAGATATATCATTGGCTTCCATATTGCATGTATCTGCCTTAACCTTAACCTGGTTTTCTGCAATGCAAACCTCGGACTACCTAGAAACAACAGGTTTGTGGCCTTCTGGGCAATGTTTCCCATGGGAAGAATGCTAATACTCATGCTCAGTGATATGCACTGCTTACCAGTTTATAGCTGTATTCATTTCTGAAAGATGTTAACCTTTAAAATTGACTTTCATACTTGGAGACAGTTTCTCTTGTACTATTACTAGATTCCTACCCAAGTTGTATTGTGTAGACTTTCCCCACAACTAAGGCCAGTGGTGACGCGTAGCAGGTGCACATGCACCCCCTGAGAGCGTCGGTGCTCCCCCTGACCAGCCACGCTGTCTGCTTAGGCGATAGGTGGGGGGGCAGCTGGGAGCGCCAGTGCCCCCCCGGCAAGAACCGGCCAATCACAGCAGCTGCTCCCAGAAGCGGCCGCGGCCACTCCTGGAAGCAACTGCAGTATTTGGCCGTCACGGGATCGGCAGCAGGGGGACATCCCTCCCCCCAGGCAGTGAGATCAGCTGCCCCCCACAGTCAGCGGGACCAGTCTCAGGGTGGGCACAGTCACAGATGACTAAGACTCAATGTCTGTAAGAGCAGAGCTCTACATTTTTTTTTTAAACGGAACAAAATAGAACTAAAAAAAATCCCTATGGTTATGGTAAGTGTGTCAATTTAGCAACTGGGAAACTTAGTTCCACTTTGAAATAAAGTTGAAAAAACTGTATTCTGAGATTAACTTTCAGAAGTGTGTCACGGGCTTTTGGTTATCTTATTATTTTGCAGCAAGTTCATATATGTTTATCATTGCTTGCTTATATTTTGCAGTCAGAAAGGCCAAACTGGAGAAATAATCACTAAAAGAACAGTGACTGAAACACCTCTGCCTTCTGCCATTCCTATTGCTTTTTATTTTCTGACTATGCTACAACTCCATAAACATGATGTACATGTTTAACCACATGAGTAATGACACTGAAGCTAATGGGACTGCTTGTCTGCTTCATAGTTTGAGGCTATTCATTTTTTTTAGATTTAAGAGTATGTACAAGTAGCAAGATTGGGCCTATACTGAGAAACATAGTGGAAGTAATTGTAATTTTTAAAGCATATTTTGGGTGTCATTCTTTTTAATAAATATTTAATCAAGTAGTTTCTTGTAAGTGTGTCAAGGTTGTTAGCTGTTTTTGGAAGAATATTAGCCTTTATATCCCATGTAGTTTTTAAAAACATCCAAAGTTGTAGTCTTTATACATTGTGTCAGAAGTCTACAAATTACAAATGCAGTGCTGTAAATGTGATTTGCCATTGTAAATTTAGTCCCTCTGAAGACTTTTGGGTTAACATGATTCCATTCTTTATTAAATGCATACAAAATTTAGTAGTACCGTATTGAACTGTATAGCTAATTCCTCTATGCCACCTAGTGGTTAAAGTTAGAATTTAGATTAAAAATGAGACGTTGCTTAAAAGTGATTCTGGGCCCGTCTACACAAGACACTGACTGCGCAGTAGCCGAATAATACTGCTCAGTAGCACATCACAGTATGGACAGTGTTAATATATTACTACACAGTATTATTAGGCTACTGCACAGTAGTGTTAACTAAAAGACATTTGCCAGTGCTGCTAAGCAGTAACTCTGGATATTGTGCATTTATTTAGTACTCGCTAATACAAGTACTACATAAACGCACAGTAATGACTGCACAGTAGCATCTCATGTAGACATGCCCTCTGTTGTTGTTTTTGTTTTTTTTAATTAGCAGAATGGTTATTATATATGGTAATAAATAATATATCTTGTTTTTCTTTTTATAGTATTGGTGTGCTTTGTGCATATGCTGCGAACCAACACTTAACAGATCAAGTCCGGGGAGCAAAGCAGCTGGTGTACAGTAATTTTAGAGACCTGAGAATTTTCCTTAATGACACTCCAGGGGTAAAGAGATACTTATTTTAGATACAGACTGTCTATGTAAAATTGTATAATAAAAAACAACTTTTTCATTGTAGTTAGTGATGCATACTGGAACATATTAATTTAATTTATACCTTCTTTGGGACTGAGTTGCCTGGATTATAATGCAGAATGTAACACAAGATAAAGAAATGCGCGTACGTAAATAAGTATCCACCAGTTATTTTGGTGGAACAACCTTTGACCAAATGATGTGCTCAGAAACTTGCTCATGTTATTGTTTGAACATATTCAACCTGACACTGGAATGAATGCCTTTTTCTGTTCATGGTACTGTGCATTGCTTAAAATGGGCATTAACCTGTGCCTGGGTAAAACTTTTAATACCTATATCCCATAGAAAAAACTTTTTTTTTCTTGTTCTGGTACACAGTTTGAAGTTTGCTTTTTCACAGTGAAACATACTGAATAGAAAGTATACTGTTCTTGATAGCTTGCAACTTCCTCTAAATTCTCTAGATATTTTTCTATATTACTGTCTTCAAGGAATGGTGAATTCCATGAAATTTTGTATAGTAACATTCCCATTTGCTATTTGGTTTTTTTTTTCTACTTGCAAAAAAATAACATAGTCAAACAACACTGGCTTTGGCTACCTGTAAGTAATAGCATATCAGTTTCCCTTTTCTATGCGACTGTTAAGGTGTTGACAGGCACAGTTCAGGAAATACTCTCAGGCCTAGCTGAAGTGATCCTCCTGTCCTGGTCATAATATTCCCAGTCTCAGATTAGTGTACTGTTTTTCTGCTGACTGAGGTCTCGGTGGTAATAACATGAGATTTCTAGGAGATCAAGACATCTACAACTTTGTAGCCTTGGCCAGACCATATATATATTTTAAGGGAAATTTCTATTCAACTCTTCCCTAATTCTCTCCACATCTGGATATATTGCATATTCTCTTTTGTTTGTAGTACAGGCATGCAGAATATTGTGGCAGAGTCTTTGGGATTGCTGTGGCAAAAAAAAAGTGATGGTCTTGTAATGTATCATGTAAAGAATGGTTTTCATGGGTGTGTGATCTGTATAGAGCTTATCCAAGGCACCAAAGTGAACATGATATTGCTCTGTGTGATCTAGTTGTACCCAGAATGCAGGTGTTTTCCCTGTGTGGAACCTTGCATCTTTTTAAGCAGAGCAGCTGGGTCATCACTATAGGAAATACCAGTATATACCTATCTCCTGTTCTCTTAATCTACTTTGATAGATATAAAATAGTTAAAGATAATAACCACTACTAAAAATACTGTTTAATAGAATGCAAAATACTATTAGAAATTGAATGTTTATGGAATTTCAGAAACTTCTCAAATTCTTAGTTTATGGAGTATGCTTTCAAATTTTTACCTAGGATTATTGGGTGTTCTTTTCTCCCAGAATAGACTCTATGTATGCATTTAGCTTATTTATATTAATATATTGCTTTGGTCTATAAGGCACCTCCACATCACATGCTCATCAGCCACTGACAGAAGCTAGACATTCTTTAGATTAATGGGAAAATACCCTTGTTTGTCTACAATGACCTAGAATCCAGCTGACTTGGTTGTTAGAGCTCTGATGTTTTAGCTGATGTCTGACTTAATATTTCCTGTCAACATTAAGTGCATAAAATTAAAGGAGTTGGTAGAAGAGGTCAAGTACTCAGAGTTCTTGTCAGAAAAGGTTTGCATGTTGCTAGTATTACACTATCAACACCATGCTTCAGTTCTGTCGATATTGTGTCTGTCTTCTGAGAGTCTGATCATTATGTGGACTCGATCCTTTCTTAAATTATTTAGTATTTTTCTATTTTTTGCAAGTTTTAATAAAATCTACTTTTGTCTTGGGATATTTGTTTAGGAATTAATAGCAGCCCTGCTAAAATTTACTTAAACAAGTCTCTTCCCCAGATTAAAACCTAGAATATCACTGATAGCTGAGGGACAAAAAATAACTGAGAAGCACAGAGTTTTAAGTCCTGAGTTTGTTGACTTCAGACATTAAATCATGTCTACTTTTACCTGTTTTATGTTTGATTTTATGCTGAATACTTGAGTATACAACCCAAATAGGATTTTTAAGGTATTTTGAACTACTAATTATCACAGTAAACATTTAAAGCCAGTCTTGTGAAATATAAGACACTTAGCATTTCTTCATCTTAAATTTAAAAGGCTTCACAATGCATTATATATAACTAAACATAGGAAAAAACAATATTGGCTTTTTCTTTAAAATTGCTTAGTTGGGTTACTCACTGGAGGGCCTTTAGTCCAAAACCTTAGTTGGAATGCTCACTGGAGGGCCTTTAGTCCAAAGTGTTAGCACTTGATTTATGATCTAGATATCTTGTTCCGGGTAGACCCAAACCCTCAGACTGACCATGACCTTTCCATTCAATAATAGGCAAATTTTATTGATACACAGTGATCATGTATAAGAATAATACAAACAATTCTCTGTCTACCAGTCCTAGAGCTGTTAGAGGGGAGGTATGTCGGACCAGTATGCAAGCTTCACCCTGAGGTTCATTGTTGACTGTCAGATGTCAGCAGCCTGGAGGTCGGAAGCCGAGGCCCACCTGCCTACCCCCAGTGGGGTGGGTGAGATATGCTGGTGGTGTGCACTTTGTCCATGGTGGCCTCAAGTTCCCCTCTTGGGGACCCTTTGCTGCTCTGAAATCCCTCCTTTTGTATTTTCTCCCCTCTGATGACTCTTCATCTCTGGGCATGGTTGATTGGTCTTCCTGTGGTCATCATACTAGCCATATTCTGGCCCATATATCTTTGTTTTGCAAACCCATCACATGCACCCGTCTTAATTTGGTTATTTAGCAGTCCTCCTAGTTTGGTTTGTTCCCCAAAGCTGGAAATCCCAATGGCTCTGCAGTTTGGCACTGTGACGTAATGCCACCTTATCTCATGTTATGGCACAGTGTGGCATATCTTCATGTCTTCAGTTTCCCAGCCTGTGTGTCTGCTGGCTTCAGACACAGTAGGCCTTGAATGAAACTTTTTCTCAAACAGGCTTTTAGAAATCAAATAACCTTGACATCCCCCTAACTATTCTAATGCAGTAGCTACTTCACCTACAAGCCGATTCCCAAAAGCAAGCCTCTAAATATCATTTTCTAGCCATCACAAAGCATCTGATATTTACTGAGATGCTTTCTGTTGAAACTGCTCTCTGCAATGGTGCAGAGCTCGACTTTTTACTGAACAAACCTGTTTGGTCATAAGGGGCACAGTCTATGCTAGAATCAGGACAGCTGCTCCTTTCTAGCTGCAAGCTGTAGAGGGATCTCAAGGATGCCTAGTTGAGTAAGGGTCCAACTGACAGAAGCAAGAAATAGTGAAGCAATTTTCAGACTTTCTGTATATCTCACAGTTAAGGAGGGCCTTCATATATTAGATGACCAGAGGAGTAGAACCAGCATGAGATGGGTATACAGGCCTTCATTGCCATAGAATCAATGGTTGCTGCTGTTTCCCATGAAGCAGTGGTTGCTACTATTAAATATCACTGGGTTTAAATTTGTTCCCTAGGAGATGTTCCAATTAAGTACATTTTCTAATTTAAGCTTATCTTAAGTAAGTGCAATAATGCTGAGCAAGAATCTAAATTATTTGGTTTATTTGGAAAGCACTGAAGAGAAAATTCCAGTGTTGGGTAGTTTTGCAGTTAAATATTTGTATTGTTTGAGTGTAGTGATTTCTGTGTCTTTATTAATAATCTTTTTGGCTTTTTTTAATTCTTAGCAAATTGACTACTTGGTGAGCCAATACAACACTACCAAGGAGAAAGTACTCTCTGACCTTAACAGTAAGCAATTCTATTCAAACTTTTATTAGCTGAATAGAAAGTTTGTTCAGGAGCTCATAAATAGCTTATAATGCAGAATAATAAATTGGTTTAAACTATAGTCACAGTCAAATTTATTACACACCATACTAGAGAAAAAATAAGATTTTTTTCATGTAAAATGTCACTGGTATTGAAGAGGGAATGGCAACCTTTTGCCACTCTGGGCCAGAATGACCCATCATGGATCAGATGTGGGTAGGAGCTAGGAACTGGCCACCATTATCACTTGTCTCTGTGGCAGCATGGGAAGAGTGCCCACAACCAAAGCCCCACATCTGAAGGCCAGATCCAGTGATTCCATGGTCCAGATTCAGCCTGCCTGTTTTAGACCCCTGATTTATAACAATGTGTATTCTTTTTATTTTTTAAGAAAAGTAAACTGCATGAATACATTGTATTTATTTTAAGAAAAAGGCAAGTAATGTTTGCCTTTTAAAACTGAGTAGTAATGAATAGAGGGTCCTGTCATAGGAAACAATTTCTTTCAATTTTTAAAGTACGGAACTGAGTGTAAAACCACATGGTCCCAGATCTGTGCCACAGGGTTGCTATTTGAGCTTACTGAAGTACTGTATTTTAAAGAAGCCTTACTGAGGACTCAGGAACAAACCATCCCAACGTGCAGGAAGACTAGTAACTCTTCAGTGAGCTAAAACACAAAAACGAAGCCTACGAGAAATGGAAATTTGGACAATGACTAGGGAGGAGTATAAAAATATTGCTTGGGCATGCAGGGATGAAATCAGGGAGGCTAAAGAACAATTGGAGTTGGAGCTAGCAAGGCATGTGAAAGATAACATGGTTTCTACAAGGATATCAGCAACAAGAGAAAGGTCAGGGAAAGTGTTGGATCCCTTACTGAATGGGGGAGGCAACCTAGTAACAGATGATGTTGAAATGGCTGAAGTACTCAATGCCTTTTTTTACCTCAGTCTTCACAGATGAGGTCAGCTCTCTGACTACTGCACTTGGCAGCCCAGTTTGAGGAGGAGGTGAGCAGCTAATAGTGCTAAAAGAACAGGTTAGCGACTACTTAGAAAAGCTGGACGTGTCTCAGATGATTGGAAAAGGGCAAATATAATGCCCATCTTTAAGATAGGGAAGAAAAAAGGATCCAAGGAACTATGAACCAGTCGGTCTCACCTCAGTCTCTGGAAAAATAATGGAGCAGGTCCTCAAGGAATCCATTTCTAAGCACTTGGAGGAGAAGGTGATTAGTAACAGTTCAACCTGACCAACCTGATTGCCTTCTATGATGAGATGACTGGCTCTGTGGATGCAGTAGACATGGTATACCTTGACTTTAGCAAAGCTTTTGATACCGTCTCCTACAACATTCTTGCAAGCAACCTAAGGATGTATGGGTTAGATGAATAGACTGGAAGGTAGATGGAAAACTGGCTAAATCATCCTGCCCAAAGGGTAGTAATCAATGGCTTGTTGGCAGCCGGTATCAAGTGGACCACCCCAGGGGACGGTCCCGGGGCCAGTTTTGTTTGATATCTTCATCAACTTCAAAGATGGGATGGAGTTCCCCCTCAGAAAGTTTGCAGATGGCACCAGGGTGGGGGGAGTAGTAGATATGCTGGAGGATGGGACGGATTCATTGAGACCTAGACAAACTGGAGAATTGGACTAAAAGAAATCTCATGATGTTCAATAAGAACAAGTGCAACATCCTGCACTTAGGATGGACCAGTCCCATGCACTGGTACAGGCTGGGGCCTCATTGGCTAAGCAGCAGCTCTGCAGAAAAGCACCTGGGGGTTATAGTGGACAGTAGACTAAATGAGCCAACAGATTGTACTCTTGTTGCAAAGAAGTCCAGCGGCATAGTGGGCTGCATTAGTAGGAGCATTGTCAGCAGATAAAAGGCAGTGATTCTTCCCCTCTATTCAGTAGTGGTGAGGACACACCTGGAGTAATGTGTCTAGTTTTGGGTCCCAGCTACAGAAAGGATGTGCACAGATTGGAGAGAGTCCAGCAGAGGATGTCAAAAATGGTTAAAGGGATGGGGCAGGCTGAGGTAAACAGGCTTATTTAGTTTGAAGGT